TGAACTCAGTTTTAGAGTCGGCCGGATGTCCGTACACACGGAGCTCCACATACGGGTCCACAATCTCGCCGTCCAATGAATTTCCCGGTTTGGGAATGTGTTGTCCGCTTATAATCTTTATCCATACCTTTTTTATTTTACTGGTCGGCGCATTGATTACCGAACTCCGGCCACTCATACCGTACTCTTTGCCTTTTCTAAGATAATCAGACTTCAAAACGTAACCGCATTTGCCATTCATTGCGAACAGGGCTTCGTTGAAAAGCATTGGTTTGTCAGTGATCTGATAGTTAAGTGCCACCAATTGTGAGCCCATATTCCAGTGCGCTATTGGGTTATAGTTAGTTAAGTCGCCCTTAGGGTAAGTGCGGACCAAATGCTTTTTGGTAAATTTGACGTATTTTTGGTCTTCGGGTTTGGTTTTGCTAAATGTCTCAGACTTTTCCTCTTCTAATGATATCATTTCGTAATATTTCCCTAATTTTAAAGTAAAAGTCTTTATAAATAAGTTATGATACGATCTTATTGTCACAATTATTACATTTCCTTTCATTTAGACAATCGTCGAAATTTTGAAACTTTTTTGCCACACAATAAGTGACCAAATCTGACAATTCTTTTGCCAATTTGTGCTAAAATTTGTTAAAATTTATTTGTATTTAAAATCTCATTCAAATGATAATAAGATAATAAAATACTAATTACTTTTTTAGATGCATTAATTTCAACGGGTGTTGGTTTGTAGGGTACAGATGAAGTCATACCCAGGGGGTAGTGATCACCATTGAGCTGATCCGGGTTTGTCCTGATATTCTTTCGGTGATCTTTTTTATTATTGGACGGAAATGTATTACTTCTGTTCATATTGTTATTATTGTTGTGCTTTTTAACTGAATTCAAATTCTCTGTATTCTTCATCACTTCCTTATTCTGGTCTTCAGTAAACTTAATACTTTTAGTCCCAATATTTCCATCAATGGTGTCGTCTTTGAGATCATTATCACTGATATCATTGTCTG